TATAAATTATATAATTTTAAAAGAAAAATATTCGAAACATATTTTTTTATCTTTAATGAAGCAAGCTTAAATCTTTTATATTTTTATATTATTATATTAATCTTTCAATTTTGTATTATATTATTTTTTATTCTCATTATTATATTATATTCAACATATATATTAAATAAAATAACATAATTAATATAATCTTCAAAATGTGAATATATCATCATTACAATGACTTCATTCATGATCGATGAATATAAGTATATCTTATATTATCTCTTTGATATAACAGTTTATAAGAAATTAAAACAAAATTTTTTTAATTTATATGGCAAAAATGTTTTATTAGAAAATGATTAATAAAAAAATAGATTATATATGAAAGAAAATTGAAAATATTATTCTAAATTATTAATAATGATCTATGTATTGATAATTTATTATTAAATAGTTAATAATTGTAAATTTAATTATAAATTTACAATTTAATTGTAAATATTGATATTGCATTTTATTTCAAAGATTTGATATATTTATTTTTTCAATTTATTTTTATTACAAATTTTTATGCAAGAAAATAATTATATTATTTTATAATTAAAAATATAATAAGTAGATATAAATAAATAACAAATTTTATGAATATATAAATAATTTTACAAAAAAAAATAATAAAAAAATTTGATATTATTTTCGAAATCTTATGAGAAATAGATTTATTTTTAAAAAATAATAAAAATAAAATTATGTAAACAAATAAAACAAAATATAATTATTTTGTTGTTTTATAATTCATTTCTACTAAAATTATTTTGATTTGTCTAAATACAAACAGAAAAAACTTTTAAGATAAATTTCTCGCATTACTTATCGTTTATTTCATTAAGTATTAGAATTCTCTTTTTCTTGAATTTTCTTGAATCATCAGAATTTCTTGAACATGATAGTCTAATAAAAATGAATTCCGATTGTTTTATGAAAGATATTTCAGAATCTATGTGTGTTTTGATCATAAAGGATTTTGTAAATAGTGAAATAAAATTATATTCTCGAGTTGTATATAGAATCATAGAAATGAAATGTTTAATTATTTAGATATTTAGTTTTTTAAAAATTATTTTTAATAATGAATAGTTATTATTATTTTTAATAATAATAGTTATGAAGAATATGGTTAATTCAAATTATAAATACTAAATAATTATATTTGTTTTATTAATGAATATAAGAATAGAGAAAATATTATGAAATTGTACAGTTGAAAATTTTTAATTAAAATTAAAAAGAAAAGTCAAAAATTTTAATATATATTTGTAGATTTATGTATATTTGTGATGTTTATTGTAATTATTACATATATTTCATGACATATGATTTTCATTTTATTTCATAAGCTATTTCAATATTTTAACTTGAAGAATAATAAAATCTTCATTAATCGGAAAATATGATTAATTCAAATTGTACATATCATTATTTGTATAAAATTACGTACGAATTAAATATGTCTATTTCGACTATTGAATAATTAATTTTTGCTTCTTTCAAAATAGGTATATATATAAATTTATTTGATATTGTTTTATT